TAGGAAAACTGAACTTCAAAAGAAAGTTTTTTTGACTTCTCTTAAGCAATCTTGCACAATCCAGACTATATTAAAATAAACACTCTGGCCTAGAATTTATGCTCAAGGACAACTTGTTATGGAATTGTGCACTGAAGTGCGTCTTGTAAGAGTAGAAGCATACAGGCTGGGCGCGGTGGCTCAGTCTGTCATCCCAGCACTTTGGGAGGCCGAGGCGAGAGGATTGCATGAACCCACAGGTTCAAGACCAGTCAGGGCAACTTGGTGAGACGTCATCTCTACAATAAATAAATTAAATTTAAAAAGTAAAATAAAAATAAAAAAAGAGTAGATGCATACGGAAGATGCTCAGAGACTTTGCAGATTTTTGTGTATATGTATTTGTCCTTCAATGCCCGAGTTAATAATACTGATTCCACAGTGTTCCAAGGCAGTTACCTTGGTACAGAGTGCCGTGGCTGGTTTCCAAAACCATTCTCTTGTGTCAGTACATTTGACCTTCCAGTAGGTTCTGAATACCTCCGGCCCAAAGACCAGGCTTGTGTTCTGGTTTCCCAGTGCTGCTTGCTCCCTTTTCTTTCTAAAGGTGTTCCCTCACTGTGCCATGCGGCTTTCCTTAGTCTCTGCTTTATATGGAAGCACTTCTTTTCTTCTCTCCCTGGATGTGACTCATCCCAAGCTGAGAGTTTTGTAGATGAGCAGGGTGGGTCCCTGTCTGCTAACCAAACCCTGAGAAGCTACCATGACCGACCATGACCGTGAAGCAGAAGGCATTTCACCCGTGCAGAAACAATGAGCTGTGCCCAGAACCCCACAGCTGCTGGGGATTCCCTTCATCATCATTAGTTCCTCCCATGCTATTAATACTAACTGTGTGTATACTGGAGTTGCAAGTTCTTTTCTCATGTTCTTTTTTTAGGTGAGGAAAGTAAGGCTTGGATTTCTTCTCCTTTTTTTTTTTTTTTGAGTTGAATTCTCACTCTGTCACCCAGGCTGCAGTGCAGTGGCATGCTCACGGCCACCGCAACCTCGACCTGCTGGGCTCAGGCGATCCTTCCGCCTCAGCTTTCCAAGTAGCTGGACCTACAGTCATGTGCCACCACACCCAGCTAATTTTTTTATTTACTGTAGAGATGAGGTCCCGCCAAGTTGCCCAGGCTGGTCTTGAACCCGTGGGCTCAGGCAGTCCTCTCACCTCAGCCTCCCAAAGTGCTAGGGACATAGGCGTGAGCCACCGCACCGGGGCCAGGCTTGGATTATTTAAAAAATAACTTTTCCAAGTTCACTGAACGAGACCACTGGCTCTCAAATCTCAGCACTCTTTCTAACAAAGGAGAAAAACAAAGTATGAGGAAACCGCAGTCATTGTCTTTGAGAACTATTTTATTCAAATAAGTGAGATTTTGAATATTCTCAAAATAAAAGGACCGGGCAGCCCTAAAAAGCCAGGTTCAACAACTGATTCAGAAACATGGCTGGCAGTTTAGAACATGTGGGGGAGGGGAGTCTCTTTGAGATGGGACCAGCCTTGCTCAATTTTGCATCCTAAACGTAGTTGCTCGTTGTCAACTGAGGAAAGAAATGAAAGGCAGAGGCCGGGCTCAGTGGCTCAGCCTGTCATCCCAGCACTTTGAGAGGCTGAGGCAAGTGGATTGTCTGAGCCCACGGGTTTGAGACCAGCCTGGGCAACTTGGTGAGATGTCGTCTGTACAATAAATCAAAAATTAACTGGGCATAGGAGCACATGTCTGTAGTTCCAGCTACTCAGAAGGCTGAGGTAGAAGGATCGCCAGAGCAGCAGGTCGATGCTGGGGTGGCTGTGAGTGTGCCACTGCATTCCAGCCTGGGCTACGGAGTAAGATTCCATCTCAAAGAAAAAAAAAGAAAAGAAATGAAAGGCAGGGGTGAGAGGAAGAAGAAGAGCAGGGAAGGGTTGGATGGGCCTCCTTGGCACCCTGTTTTGCCTCCTGAATGCTCTCTGTTTCTAGGTTTTTACTATGCTGTTTTCACTTTGATGAATATATTATAGTTTTTTTCTTTCATTTGAGTACTTCCCATAGGAAAAAAATGATGAACATAGAAGACAAGAGTCATGTAAAGGAAGACTAATGCTAACCAGCTAATTGCTAATTAATCAGAAGACTAATGCTGCTTTACTGATGTTAGCATTAACATGAGGACAGCACAGAATTTATGTTAGTGTAGGATACTGATTTTGATCTTTTCTTTTCTTTTCTTTTGAGTTGGAGTCTCACTCTGTCGCCCAGACTGGAGTGCAGTGGCCACTCCCAGCCACCGCAGCCTCGACCTGCTGGGCTCCGGCGATCCTTCCGCCTCAGCTTTCCAAGTAGCTGGAACTACAGGCTAAAATTTCAACTCCTTATGCTGATGAATAAACAGTTCTTATCTTAGTTAACAAGGTCAACAGGTGTCCCGATCAGAATTATAATTTTGTCCAAAAATATTTCAGGTACAAAAGCCAAAGTCCCTGTTTCAGTAGGTAGCACACTCAGGAGGCTCCTGAAATATTATTCATTTAAATAGTGATGTGCTTTTTTGTTTGTTTGTTTAGTTGGAGTCTCACTCTGTCGCCCAGGCTGGAGTGCAGTGGCACACTGCCGGCCACCACAGCCTCGACCTGCTGGGCTCAGGAGATCCTTCCGCCTTAGCCTTCCAAGTAGCTGGAACTACAGGCATGTGCTGCCATGCCTGGCTTATTTTTTGATTTATTGTAGAGACGAGGTCTCACCAAGTTGCCAGGGCTGATCTCAAACTCCGAGACTCATACAATCCTCTCACCTTGGCCTCCCAAAGTGCTGGGATGATAGGCTGAGCCACCACGCCCAGCCCAAATAGTGATATAACTTGACACTCTCATCCCTCTAAAATGCATTCCTTTCTCATGAGGAATAAGCAGTGCTTCGTTGGCAAGATCTAACTTGGGGAAATCTTTTTTTTTTCTTTTCTTGAGTTAGGGTCTTACTTTGTTGTTTAAGCTGGAGTACAGTGGCACCATCACCACTCACCACAGTCCTCCAACTCCTGGGCTCCAGTGATCCTCCTGACAGCCTCCTGAGTAGCTAGGACTACAGGTGTGTGTCCCCATGCCCAGCGAATTTTTAAAATTTTTTTGTAGAAACCAGATCTCACTGTGTTGCCTAGGTTAGTCCCAAGCTCCTAGGACCAAGCAGTCCTTCCATCTCAGCCTCCCCAAGTGCTGGGATTATAGGTATGAGCTACTGCACTCACCCTGACCAGGGTAAATCTTTTAAAGAGTACTGGTAGTCTTTGGGAGACTTCCTCCTCTGTCACTTAAGGTTGACAAAATAGAAGAGACATTTTGTTTATTCCCTTTTAATTGTAATGAATTTTTTAAAATGCTGTGTCCAGAAGAGGAAAATACATGCTTATTGTCCCATGACTGCTTCTGAATGAGAAGTGAACTATTCTGAGAATGGCCGGCAAAAAGCTTTGTAGATAATCGGTTGGTTACACAAAATGACTGAAGCCACAGCTGCCGAAATTATTGCAAACTTTTTATTTGCTCTATCATTAGATGAAGATCTCTGTTATTAACTTTGAATTTTGGGTAATTGTCAGTGACCTTGGTCTTTGTACTTGAGTTTTGATGAACGTCCATACCATCCTCTCTACATTGTATTAATACCAATGAAGTCAATTCTTTCTGCCCTTGAGGAAATGTACCTCTGCTAGGGTATTTTTACTTTCTCCTTGGTCCTTAGGTAACAGCTTGCATTAAAAGGCTTTATCTTTGAAGCCAATTTCCCTTCCGCTTCTAGTTTATTTAGTAAACTTATGAACGAATTACATGGTGGTGGTTGTTTTTTTTAATCCTCATTTTAGAGCTAGTGCTTCATGCCTTTTTCAAAGGGGATAGGAAAGTAGAATTGAGAGCTAGTGTGGCTCAGTGGGAAAAACACAGGTCTTGGGATCCATCAGGAAATCAAGATGTCGGTTATAATGCAAGAACCACTGTACTGCTTATTATTAATGTGACCTTAGCAAATAGCCTAAGTTCTGTGAGTCATAGTGAAATGGTGATAACGGCCATTACACCAACTTCACAGGGTGAGGTGAGGATGGTGTCCGTGAAAAGCTTTGAAAACTATGAGGTTCTAAGACTATTATTTCCAGATTCCTTTACCCCTTAAAAAAAAAAAAAAAACTTCATTGAGATAAAATTGCCCATTTCAACTGTACAATTTAGTGGAGTTTTTTTGGTATAGAATATTTTTACCATTTCAAAAAGAAGCCCACACTCTTAAGCCATCACCTCCCTGATCCGTTCCCCTGCCTTTTCAATTTTCATTTTGTGTTTATTTATAGAGACTCTGGGATAATTTTTTAAAATTAAATTAAGTAAAAATAAGATGACTTGCGATGACATTATGATACCGTTTCCTATGAAGAGTGTCTCTTTAGGGCTTTCCAGTTAATGATCTGAGTGCATTGGCAGGATGATGGATGATGACCTAAGTGTTAATAAATGACATTATGAGGGAGATTACAATTCCCGATGCATTTCTATTTTGAGAAGCAGAAAAGATAGATACATACTTACTGTTGAAGTCACCTACGCGGGATGGATCTGTGGGCGGGCGGGGGAGAAGTGAGTGCACCAATGAGCAGGGAGGGGACGGTGAGGGGAGAGGGAAGGGATAAGAGGGGTGTGCCCTCCCAGGAGGGGGTTTTCCCAACCCAGGAAACCCACACAGTCGGGAAGCTGCTTGTAATTGTCCTTAACTTTCTAAACATGAATTTGACTTTGTGTAGCAGAGCTAGGAAAGAAAGAAGGATGGCTGGGTGGACAAAAGGGAGGGAGGAGAAAGGAATGGAAGGGAAAAAGGCCCACTCTGGGAGTGCCTCTGTTTTCCACGCAACCCAAATGTTAAGTGGACGTGATGAAGCAGGGTGAAAATCTGAGTGTGCAGGGTTGACTTGAGAAAAGGAACTCACCCTCGGCCTCCTTGTTGTTCCAGGCCGCCAGATCCCACCCTTGGACCCTCACGAAAATGGAAACAATGGAGCCATCAAACTTGTGAAGCAACCCTCCCAAGCCAGCCGCCGGTGCTGCTGACTGGAGGGTGGTGGTCTGCGGTACTTGAAGAAGCCAGAGCCCACGCCTTGTCCACTGCTGAAGGACCCCACACTCGGTAACCTGGCACCTCATTTTGTGAAGAGTGAACACGCTGGCTTTGCATCCTGGAAGACCTACAGGGAGCTGGGCAGGAAACGTCCCTCAAAAAGGATTTTAGAAAACTCTGGAAAAACCCACCTCCCCACCACGAAAAGGCCTTTAGTATATGAAATGCACATGGGAAGTATTATACTTACTAGGTGATCAGCATAGTTGCATTTTGGTTAAAAACCTTAAAAACGTCTTGGATTTGTACAACTCTTAACTGCCTTATTGTGTGTATGGGATTCTAAAGTGGTTTTCCACTTGTGTTCCCTTTGTTACCTAGCCAAATTTCAGTAACTTCTTCAGTGCCATTGCCTTTGTTACCTAACCTATCTTCACTGAAATGCAAATTTAATTTAGAAGGTTAGTTTTTAGCTAGTTTGGGAAGTCAGCCTTTATTTATTACTTTTCTGAAGGAAGTCAGAGAAGGGTAATTGGACCATCGCTCAAACTGAGACTTGAGCTATCACAGAAGAGGACAAAGATGTATTAGAAACTGTTGTGTATATCTCTTAATTGGTGAGCATTTTTATAAGTTTTGGTCATATATAAAAACAATCCAAATCAAACTGAAGTATTGCATAAAAGTTTGGGATTGGGAGGACTAGTTTGAAAGAGTAACTGTGTAAGCATTAATAGCTGTAGGCTTTAAATATTATTCAAGAGACCAACTGATGTGCAGTAATAAATTCCTACTCTCTCAGAGAAGTTTAATGCACGTAGTACTATTTTACTAAGAGAATATGTCATGGTGTCATATCTAGGGGAAGAAAATGAACAGGAATTAAATTTAATGTTTGAGTCTAAACCATAGGGCAAACTTCTAATAATAGCAATTAATAATAGGTTACAGGAAAGCTGGCCAGAGGAAGTATCAGCACCTTAAAATCATAGACCAAAAAAACTACAAAAATCAGAGAAAATATTTAAAATGTTGCCAGACTTGGGGAGGAGGGTCGTAGGGCTATCTAGAGGTCTGACTCCGATGTGCTAATGAACTGAGAATGGGCTTCGAGGGGAATCTTCCTTTTCAGATTCCCTGTCTGCTGGCTTAATGAAAGGTGTCTGAATCCAAAGGAAGAAAACACATGAAAAGGAAGAAAAGTCATTTCCATTGAAAATTCAAATCCTATTACCATTCTAACTTCCATTAAAAAGTGGGGATCAAGGAGCATTTGATTTCCTGTCAGGACTTATATCGGGGGGGGGGTTGATTCTTTTTTTTTTTTGAGTCGGAGTCTCACTCGGTCGTCCAGACTGGGGTGCAGTGGCCGCCCCTGGCCACCACAGCCTCGACCTGCTGGGCTCCAGCGATCCTTCCGTCTCAGCCTTACAAGTAGCTGGAACTACAGGTGCACGCTACCACACCCGGCTAATTTTTTGATTTATTGTAGAGATGAGGTCTCACCAAGTTGCCCAGGCGGGTCTCGAACCCGCGGGCTCAGGCAATCCACTCACCTCAGCCTCCCAAGGCGCGGGGTTACAGGCTGAGCCACCGAGCCTGGCTCGGGGGGTGATTCTTAAAGGATTTTGGGATTGGTGCTCAGAAATGGTTAGTCACGTAGAAATGCTGACAAGGGCCAGCTGGTCTCTTCTTTCCCTTGAACACTGCAGGGCCAGCAAGCCTTTATTGACAGCTTACAGTGTGCAAGTCAGAAACAGATCAGGAACTGATTAAGTACCTGGCACTTTCAGTGACTCAGCAGGAGCTGGTGTTGGAGTGTCCTGTCTCAGCCGTGTCCACCCTGCCCTTGATGGGCAAGAGACAGAAAGGGAGAGTCCTGGAGAGACCAAGGCCAAGTTTATACTTAATAGGTTCATTGTAATCAAGGAAATGAGGCCAGGCTGAAATCACAGTCATGTTTTTCAACTCAAGAATGTCCTGTCAGTGGGGATGTGCTTACTGCTTCACCCAACTTGTGAGAGCTGCCTGGCAGTCTTAGGATATGAAGACTGGAAGACATTTATTTTGGTTTGAGAATTCCATTTGGCTCTCCCAGACAGGTACTGCAAAAACTGTTAGCAAGTGGCAATTGGATGCCTTGGCAGTACCTTTGCAAGGATTTTTAGGTGTTTTTTCACACTGTCAACATTACTAGCTGATAGGATTCTGCTTGCAGGCCAAGAAATGATCATACCTCTTGCCAAAGGTAAAAGCATTCTGAATTAAAAATTTGAAATAACCTCTTTCCAGGTGACATGCAGGCTTACTTTCAATCCTTTCCTTTCCCAGTTTTCCCTGAGAACCTGGGTGTATCTCTAGATAGCTGCTCAGGTTTCCTAGCTAAGGTGGTAAGCATCCCAGCAGAGAGTTTCACAGACAGATTTGACTGGGTTTGCATTTTGTTTAAACCACATGTGGTGAGCTACCCACTGGTGAGCCCATGGCTTTATTTCAGAAGCACACAAGAGTGTGAAACCACTCTTTCATCTGTCTGTGTTGTATTAGCTATACGAGCCAGTTGGAGTTGTTGGTGAAGAGAGTAGCTTACACTTGGGCACACAAATCTTCACATAAACTTTGAGTCTTCTCTGAAGACAGATGCTCAGGCCTGGTCCACAGTGAGACTTTTCTGCCTTCCTTTATTTTGGCTTGGGATTACTTTCTGGCTGTTCTAATAAGTGAACCATAACCATATAATATTATGAAAAGACCTGGAAATTATCGTTGCCAAAAAAAAAAAAAAAAAAAGCCAAGTGGTTTCATGTGCTGTAACATCCTTGACACCGTTTTCCAAAATGTGCCCCTTCTCCCTTTTTTCCTTCCTGTGTGATGTGTATGTGTATATGTGTAAATATGATTGTATATTTGTTACACTGACATGTAATCCATTTCACTGGTGAGTTTGGCTCCTGACTGTGTCTCATAAGGTAGACATGGATTCTTGGAGGGATGGCTTCCCGGAGGAAATCGCTAAGAATGGTTGTGGAGTTGTGCAAATATTTTATGTAGGGACATAATCGACTTGTCATATTATGGCTAAAAATGGCACATTAGGGTGTTGAATATGACGTTACCTTGCAGACTAGAAGGTTGAAGACCTAAAACTTACTTTTCACCAACAATAAGGGCTGTGCCCCAATGAAAACTGAGTTTATTTTCCGAAGGAGGTTTGGATGATCAGGGCATTTCCTCTGCAATCGAGGACCTTGGCGTGTAATGGTGGAAACTAAGCTTTCTTATGTGGGCTCTCTTCTCACTGTTCTGCAGTGATCATGGCAAGTTGAGGAAAGAGCTGGCTTGTAAACTAAGAGGCTCTGAGCAGTACTCAGAACTACTAGGTATCCAGTTTACCCTTTTAGCATTGTTGTTGAAACTGGACCCAGTGATCCAGTGGCGCTGCTCTGTCGTGCATACTACTCCCGTTCTCCTGCTTTTGTCAAGGGCTTCACTCTGGGCTGGACCCAGTTCTTGCACATACAGTGCCAAGCAGACAGCTAGGACCTTTCCACCTCGTATTCTATTCTATAGCAAAGCGTTTCCCTCGATAATGCCCAGTTGTATCTGATATTTTGGGTTTAATGCACACTGATTCATACTAATAAATGTTTTAAGTTTTACCACGTTTGTCTTTTTCTTATGATGATGCTCAGCTGAATAATCTTCTTAAAATCACAGTCAACTCAGAATACTAAGAATGATGAGTCCCCAGAGAAACGCGTTTACCCATACATATGAAGACACGCGTAAGGATGTTCACCATAGCACTGTTTGCAATAGCAAAATGTCTTCCATCGAGGAAACAGACAAATGTTGCATGTCACATGATGAAAGCTATAGGGTGGTTTAAATGAATGTAATATCTAAAATGCACCAACATGTATCTTAGAAAAGGAACTGTGCAGTGCACAGTCTGGGCAATCAACCTGTGCCCCGACTGAGTGAATGAAGCGACTTGAAGAAGTGTTAAGACATATCAACTTTGCAAAATAATAAATATTGTTTATAAATCTGTACATGTTAAGATAAAAGAAGAAAAAACACGAACTTCATGATGGTCACCTGTGGGAAAGGAAGGAGGTGAACGGGTTCAGGCAGAAGATAAAGGACATTTAACTGTCAGTCATTTTTATCTACTTCATAATACAAAAATCCAAAGCCAACATGGCAACACAACAGCATTTGGTAATTTCTACTTACTCCCATCCCCTCTCCTGTGTTGTCTTAGCCCTTGCCTCCCAGCAGCCACCAACACACACATTTTTTCAGGCATACACCTGTGGAGCTTCTGTTTTCTGTGCAGAGCTTTGTTGGCATCCTAGAGGATTATGGGACAGCAAGCGGTGATGGAGAGAGGCAGTACCTGTACATTCTCAGCTTTCGAGATACTGCCCTAGGCCCCAGCTGGGAAACCACTGATGCGGCTTTTTCAGGTCAGCCTGGGCTTCAAGGGTGTCAGCTCAATGGGTCGGCCAGCCAAGCCCGAGGGTCGAGGAGGGGCTGGTAAGCCTAGCCCCAGAAGCGTCAGCTCTAGTGGGCTGGCAAGCCAAGCCTTGAGTGTTGCGACTCGGTGGGCTGGCAAACCTAGCCCCTAGAGTGTTGGCTCTAATGGGCTGGCAAGCCAAACCCTTAGAGTGTTGCTGGTTTGGTGGGCTGGCAAGCCTAGCTCCTGAGGTGTCTCAGCTTTGGAGTCTCGCCTTCCTCCAGCAGCTCTCCTGGTTCAGCTGGCTCTGTCGGCTGGCAGGCCAGCCTCTGGGGTGCCCGGCTTTTCTACTCTGATGATTTTCTGCAGCTCTTCAGGGTTGAGGTTCTTGTCTCATGCCCAGGAAGAATGAGGGACATGGGCAGTCAGAAAGTGAGAAGGCAGGATTTATTGAGGACAGGAGAACTCCCACAGTAGGGAGGGGGCCCAAAGGCATTGCCCATCTGGGACTGAAAACCTGGTGCTTATATAGCCCTAAGTCCAAGCCGATTGGCTAGCACTAGCTGTGAGCTGTTGCTGTTCTGATTGGTCGCTTTTCAATCCCAGCAGTGAGGACTTTAGCTCTAGCTTGAGAGGCTTGCAGAGAGCTTGTTTACCAATGCTGAGCCTGAGAGGCCTGCCAGGAGTTCACTCTTTGTTACCAGAGGACTTGCCTGTCTGTTTGCCTGCCTAGTCTTTCTCTAGCTATCTCCTGTCTCACCACTTCCAATATATAGTCAAACAAGAGAATGAAAACCTACCATTACCAAGGGATCCAGCATTTCGATTTTTTGAGGAAACATGCCTTTCTTTTTGCATTGACTAAGAAGTGGTTATCTCTTTACGGCAACTTTGGAAGGTGTTTTTGGAATTAGTCCTGTGATTGGATTCAGCTGGCAAATGTAACCCAGCTTTCCTTGTCAATAATAGATTCTCCATAGGGACTGCACCCCTCAATCCCTCAGAACCGCTTTGTCCTACCTCGGGGGTATATTTAAAGGACTCAAGTGTCTGGGGAGTTATGTATTGAGGCTGAGAGGACTTCGTGGCACCTTGCACATTTTCACAAAACAACCCTGGTTGGCCAGGAGCGGTGGCTTACACCTGTAATCCCAGCACTTTGGGAGGCAGAGGCAAGAGGATTGCCTGAGCCCAGGGGTTTGAGACCAGCCTGGGCAACATGTTGAGACCTCGTCTCTACAATAAATAAAAAAATTCACCAGGTGTAGTGGCACTCTTGTAGTCCCAGCTGTGCGAGAGACTGAAGCAGAAGGATCACCTGAGCCCAGCACATCAAGGCTGTAGTAGCCACTGCACTCCGGCCTGGCTAACAGACATACCGCAGCCATGTGTAGCTGGACTGAATTTTTGTACATTGTGAAGCTTTCTCCCTTTCATTCCAGTGTTCTGTTTAAAAAAAAAAAAAAAGCTTAAAAGAACATCAAGTTTGGCCAGGCTCAGTGGCTCAGCCTGTAATCCCAGCACTTTGGGAGACCGAGGCAAGTGGATTGCCTGAGCCTGCAGGTTCAAGACAAGCCCGGGCAACTTGGTGAGATCTTTTCTCTACACTAAATCAAAAATTAGCTGGGCATGGTAGCACACGCCTGTAGTTCTGGTTCCTTGGAAGGCTGAGGTAGAAGGATCGCTGGAGCCCAGCAGGTTGACGCTGGGGTGGCTGTGGGCATGCCACTGCACTCCAGCCTGGGCAGCAGAGTGAGACTCCAACTCCAAAAAAAAAAAAAGAACATCAAGTGTTAGCAGGTATACTGAAAATAGGCAGTCCCTTGCGTACTGGTCAGAGTATAAATGGTACAATCTT